AAAAGCCCCTCATACTCTTTTCGTTGCACGATTGGCAACTAAACTCTTGGAAGCATAACATCCCCTCATACGTGCTGTTGGTGGCTTGATAACCCCTCACACGTTCAGTTATCTCGTTCGGGACAACCGTACTCTCTCTTTCATCCCAACATCACACATTTCGCAGAATTCCTAACACAGGAAACGATTCAGACACAAATACAACACGACAACACGGATACAACACGTCTGTACGACTTTACCTNTCCACCACCTGCTGCCGCCCATCTCCACCGCGGTTGAAGGCGGTAATGGCTTGCCTTGTTGCCGCCTTTTCCGCCCTGCACGCGCTGCACTCGTGAACGCGTAGGGTTGGCTCGCCTTCCCACAGCCCCATCTCCATGAGCAGCTGCTCTCCTCCTTTCGGCAGCAAAGACGTTTCTTTTTCCTCTGGGTATGCATGGCAGTTGCACTTCATCATCATCGACGGCGGCGGCGGTTGACCCGCAATAAAAAAAAATAAAAAATAAACGTCAACAGCAGTCTAGAAGCACGGTTGCACCATGTGCACACCCCACACACACATCTCAAAGCCCTGCTCGTTCGTTCCCACGGAAGCCCGGAAGGGGGGCGCATTGGCGCGTGCAACAGCGGAAGGAGCCAGGATGGCGAAAGACGAGGCGAGCTTCTTCGGTGGCCACTCTCTGGTAAGACCGCTGCACAAATCACCCAGGGAAAAAGCCGTTACAGCAGTACCGTGGTTGAGCGAGGGGCAGAATTTGGTGCGATGCCGTGTGGGCGCCCGCCCGCCCTTGCCATACTGTTGTGAATGGATGCGATGAGAGATTGCTGAAAAAGGCGCCCGGCCTTCTCCCACACACTTGCGCCTACCGGTTGTTGTTGTTGTTGTTGTTTCTCACATTAGCTCTAAAAAAAAAAAGATTGGGAGCCCGTGGTCTCAAAACCCGGCATACACGACCCCACGAAGAAACAGAAATAATAGGCTACAAAAACCACTCGGAAGAGAAACAAAATGATAGAAAGAAAGACAAGCTACCGCACCAAACGAGAAAGAGCGTCGAGGAGACCGATCAAAATAAAATAAAAGGAGAACGGGGAACGCTTCCCACACCCGCCTACAACGCCGGAGGGTTCCGTGCCGGGTTCCCGCCGACCCGGTGTGCCCATGTATATCTCTGGGGCCGGTAAGGACAATGGGCGACTGAAGCCGGAGTTTGTTGCGCGCGATGTTTCAAGCGACCGTAAGCAGTTGCGTTCACCGTTTGCATTTAATTCCGGCGCTTACAGCGACCTGACATATGCCTCGTGCAAGTAGCTCGGGTCCTTATGTTTCGGCATGATTGGAGCACCCTCTCCAAGGCAGTAGAGATGAAAGGCCGCGGAAGCTGCTTGATGCAGCTTTGATGGCTCCTCACTAACTTTGTGTTAGTGTGCCATCATCATCCTGCCTGCTCCTCACGAAAACGCGGCTCAACCGGGTGAACAGCAGTAGGTAGGCCTTTGCTCCATCGGCCGTTATATTTCGATTTATGCACAGATACACAAACTTCATTTGTATACTAATTTCAAGTAAATTTCACCTTATAATTCTCCGTCATACAAACAAAACGGCCGATGGAGCAAAGGCCTAGTGAACAGCCCGTGTTCCTGCCAATTTTCCTCCGAGACACGCTTCACAACCTCACAACTTATAACACATTCGAACGGGTTATTTTCTCGAGCACGGGCAGTTTTTCATTTGTAGTATTTTCTAGAGAAGTAACCAGAAACGGGTATACCGTGTATGACACGAGATAACACACCCCCTTGACCGATTTTCGAAGCTCGATTTCTCAACTGCTGGAACAGTCACAGCGCCGAAAACGGCAGCGTTGAAACCGTCCCGTCGAGAGCTTTTCGAAAATGTGTCGTTTCGTTTATGCACCTCTTCGTCGTGGAGTAATTGAGCTTTGAAAATTGGTCCAGGGGGTGTGTTATCTTGTGTCATATACGGTACCCGGGTGGATAATCACCATTTCAGGGTACACTTGGAAATCAACACGACACCAATCTCCGACAGCATCCGCCATAGATCGCGGCGAAACCAATACTCCGCTGTCAGTGTCCTGTGTCCTATACCTCGGAAGCATGATGAACGAGGCAGGTCGTGCCCGTTTTTCTCGCTCTCTGTGCCTCTCTCTCTCTGTGCTTTTACTGTCTGATCAGTACAACACCGAAGTACTCGCGCGTCAAGCGAGTCCGATCCTCTGTTGAGAGGGCCGATATACTCTGGAGGCGGTGCCCATGAACGATGAACGCGCGAGCGTTGTTGGTGCTTTGGTTGTGGGTATGTATATATGTGCGGTACACGGTTTTTTCTGCGGGTTTTATTCTAGAGCGTCAGGCGCCGGGATTATACGACCATTTCTGGGTACAAAATCGACCTCTTCCGGGTACACAGTAACCAATATCGGTCACACCAGAGGGTCCTAACTCCAGTGGAAGTTATACCCGATGGAGGTTTCTTCAGAAATGGATGCAATGGTTTTTCGGCCAATCAGCTGACAGCCTGGGGGTGCAAGCGTGTTGATTTCTAACTGTACCCTAGAGTGGTGAAAAGTACCCGGTTATACCCATTTCTGGTTATTGGTCTATTTTTTAGGGAAAAATCGGACAAGTGCTGTAGTATTGTACAGTGCATATGTATGAGCGAGTGCAGGTTGTTAGGGGGGGTGGTATCTTCGGTGACCCGCGATCGGTCTGGGGATGTTTGTACGGAACGTTGTCGGAGGCAAAAGTGCCTCCCACCGTCCCGATCCCAATCCCCACCGTGTCTGCACGGTCTGCATTGCTCTGCATCTCTGCTGACGCCACTACGTAATGCCTTTGGCTGCTGGACAATGCATGTGGGGCAATCTGTTCACAAGCAACAGATGTACACCTCTCCAGGATCAAATGCTCCTTTTTTTGTGTTCCGATTACGAAATATATGTCACTCTCCATCGCAACCTTCACTCTCCATTTCGCGAATATAGTGTTTGCAGCACTCTCTTCCCTCTGTGTAATACACGAACTATATCTGTGAACAAAACGGGGTACTACGACTTGTAAATAACTTTTAGCCGACAAGTGGGTATAGCATTGCTGTATACCCCGCGGGTTCGTGCACAAAGTGGGGTCCTCCAACAAGTCCCCCTCTTCCGGACCCTAGCCCACGTTAAACGTTACACCTGTGGGCAATAAGCAAAAAAAAATGGCCGTCCTTCCCATGGACGACCTGGCTCAGGGGACTGCAGTCAAAGGCACCTACTCGGCGTCAGGCGCTGCGCCCCACACCGAAAAAGAAAATATGCCCCTTTTCGTTCCTAAGCACGGGGGATGTACCCCTTTTTGCCCATCCTCCTTCTTTTATCTTTGTTGCCTTGCCCAACAGTAGAGCCGATTTTTACATGTTATGTCGCACCTCGCTTTTTCCTCGCCATTGCATTCCTTCTGCCAACTGGTATGAATGATACTGCCGTGTGCGATTAACCCGTGTGGGGCTGGGGCTCGGGCGGCCAATCCTCGCGACGGCGGGCTTGGGTTTGGTACCCGTGTACCCGTTCGGTCATTGTTGCGGTGTATTTGGAACAACCGACACACCCGTTCCTTCCGGTGCTTCTTCCTCACCTCGCATCCATACGGCGAAAACAACGTCAACAGCTTCTTTAGTGCGATCTGTTACGTGCACCTTGCAAAATTTGTCAACAGCTGTCTTTTAGTAGTGTTTATCTATTTCAACGAACCTTGCATAATTTGCCAACAGCTGTCTATTGATAGTATGATCTACAGCAACGTTCCGTGCATAAGTTGTTTTTCGTCCCCCCCGTTCTTCCATTTTTTTCGTTTATTTTCTCGTGTCTAGCCTGACCTCAGTGTGAGCCCCACTTTCGGGCGACAGACGAGCGCGCGAGAATCCGAGAGCTCCAACCGTATCCTTGGTGCGGTGGAATCGAGAGATCATGCAAAGGTAAAGCACCGTTAGAAGGCACTCACACCAGGGGGACATCATCCGCAGCGGTCATCATGTGTACAAATCCACCGTTTGTATGATGCGTTGGGGGGACGAAAGCCCCGGGGGCCAAGTTGGCTGGTGGTTGCTGTTCAGTCGCCGTGAGTTGTTTTCGTTGAGGCTGTGGATGCGGAGTTTGTTGTGGTGGTTTATGGCAATTCGTTGCGGGTGTTATCGGTTTGCCAACTTTAAGTTGAAGTGTACGATTCAATCTTTCCCGGGGGTGGTTTCGGGAGTACCATACTTGTAGTAATTGTAGCTGCTCCGGTGTGTCTGACGGTCCCTTCGCATCCCGAAGTCCTTCTCATGTGGTGCTAAGCATGTGATAAATTATCGTACATGCATGTGCTTATGTTTGAGCTCGAGCGTGCATCATGCTGTTGTGTGGTGCCGGGACCTTGAGGAATGAAGGGCCCGGTGGAGAGGTCGATCAGGCCGCTTGGTGCACGGCGCGGGCAGGGAAGTGTTTTTTTTTTTTCTTGGGTCTCCAGGGGGCGTGTGAATCGTCAAGACTTGAGAGAGGGGAGGGGGAGCACTGTCCGTGCCGGTTGATTTCGCCAGAGAGGCTGAAACGAGCCATTTCTCGTCCCAGTCCGACAACTGAGAAGAGGGTATATATGTTATGTATGGTGTCACCAGCTGTGCGAGGCACTCTGCCCCTCGCAAGGCTGCCGATGTAGGTGTTCCCTCGCTCGCAGTTCTTTCTCACGCCGGCCCTCATTCCGCCCTCCCCAACATGTGCATTACATGTCGTCGCTATTTTGGGCACTTCTTACGCCTCAAACCGTCGTTGTCTTCCTGGTCGTATTCTCCTGTCGGTGTCTTGGTCGCACCACCTTTGCGCGGAAATTTCTTGCGGCCACAGCTGCGGGAGGGCCTGTCTGGCTCCGTCAAGCCCCCCTCCAATGCCGTCCTCGCCCCTAGCATGTCCTTCGAGCACCGCATGAGAACGCCCCTCATGGCCGCCGCGGCCACCGGTAGCCTGGCCCTCTTCGCAACAGTCCTACACGCCGTGAACCGTGCCATCGGCGAGCAACGGATGGTAAGCGTAAGGCGGTACGTTGCGTGTGAACGCGATTTTCACCTTGAAAAAAATACGGGATGCTGACGGTGGGACGACACGTTTGAACCATGGTTTCAGGCTCGGAATGTCCCCCCGTTCCCTCAATATTGCGGCACGTAACGTGTGTTTGGCGGGCTATTAAACAGTCTAGCCTGCAGCCGCGAAAGGTACCCCGTCAACCGTCCCCCCTGTCAAGCTGTGCCCACTCGTTCCAACATCGTATCGCCCCCCGTTGGTTCCGACCAGAGATACTCAACCCCCACCGCGCGCGGCCAGCCGCACACCCACCCACCCACCTCTTTGCGACAACGACAAACGACCGCGCTGCCGTGGCCGTGTGCACCTTCAACGTCACGCAGGAGACGAACCGGATCAGCCTCAGGAAGAAGCAGCTCGAGTACATGGACGAGTCGGGCATGACGCTGCTGATGCTGGCCGCGAGGAGCGGTAACGTGGGGATATTGGAGGCGGTTGTAGAACGGGTCCGAATCGTACAGGCAAGAATTGTTCTATTGGGCATCGAGTTAATTTGGCTTGGCATGACGGCCTTTACGATCGACTTTTTTTGTAAGTCTGCATTTATCTGCAATTGTCGGAGGGCTAACAAAATAATAATAATTGTTCTATGCTCACAGGGCTTTTAAGAAAAGATGCCCCGGTTGTTCTTGGCAAGACAGGGCCGAGAAAAAGCATCTATTCATGACAAGACGGAGGCGAAAATATCTGTACCCTTTCGTGACGAAGACAGGGCTGAGAAACGTGCACCTTGTCACAGCAAGACAGGCCGGGAGGATGGTTGGGGTTTTGGCATTTTGTCGTTGCTGCCCCATGTTGCTGCCGTGGGGGGGTTCGGCGTTTTTCCGACGATTGATGCATCGAAGCCCCCGAGGCCTACCGCGGAACTCGTGTAGCGCGAACACACGTTGCGAGTTTCTCGTGCTTTTGCGGTTGCGTGCCTGCGTACCAGCACTCAGAGGGAGGCTTTGTCTGTGGCACGTTTAGTGACAGAGTGCGTCTCGACCAATGAACGAGTCTTCGGTGCCGTGACCGAAGCAAGTAGACCGCACTGGGTGCTTCTGCTGTGCCACGCGGTCTTGGACGTGTTGACATCGTTCCGAAACACTCACCCGGCTGACGGTTTTCGGAGGGAAAGCGGGTGCTTCGACGGAATGGAGGCCAATGTTAGGCACGTTTGCTTTGCAATAGTTTGGTCTCGCAACAGTATTGTAGCGAACGGCAATCCCGCTACCCACCCTAGGGGGGACACCCGCTGCCTTCGTCATCATGCCCCCCCGTTGCACCGACCGCTCCACGAAACCAACCGCCTGACGAAAATACCGGGGACAATACCGACTCACACGCGGATGCAGGCTCCGGAACGCCTGCTGGACCGCGACCACAGCGCTACGACGGTGCTCATGCACGCCGCGGGCGCCGGGCGCTCGGCCGTGTTCACCGTCATCCTCAACGAGCTTCAGAGATGCTACAAGGATAATGTGAGCCCGACATCATGAATGCTTCGCTGTCGGGACAATGCGCAACGAAACAATGCCACGTGAAAGCGGTGACAGTCGGATACGGCAAGTGGAATAAACTTCTTTGCGGAAAACTCCTGTTGTAGGCAAGTGGAATTGCTTTCGCCAAGTTACGACACACAGGGGGCCCCGACAACACGAGGGGGCCGTTGAATCAGAATCCTCGATTTTCCTCTGCTGTATCCTCGAGGCAGTCGCCGGAAAAGCGCAAATGAAGCCCAACAAAATGCCCAGCACCTGAAACTAGCGCTGTTAAGCTTTTAAATACGCCTGCGGCTGAGCGAACGCCAGAAAGAGTTTCAGCGGCCTCATCGGGTCCAAAGGCCTGGCAGGATGCTGGGATTGAGGCCTGACGAACATGGGATGTACTTGTGGGTACGGGAGGTTGGTAATTTCGTGTGTGATAGCAAAGAGCGCATCATGGGCGACACCCCCCTCGCTTGAGCCCAACGCTATCATCGATTTTCAGTGGTCTTCTCCGCTACCCTCCGCCCGCCGTTTCAGGATATTTCATCGGCCATTTCCCTCGCTTCCCGCACCCGCCATTTCCACCGCCCCCCCCATCATGGATGCCTCGTCCTCTCGAGGACGCGTGGTCAATGGTCTAATCGCTAAGGCATGCAAAGCATAAAGAGTACGCCCTCCCTTATGATGTGCACGTTCTTTGGGGTACGGCGATAACCGACAGGTGGAAGAGCAGCTGCTGGCGTCGTCGGCAGACGACCGTACGATCCTGATGCACGCGGCCAGGTGCGGCGACCAGATGGGAGTGCTGTCCGTCAGCCACGCGTGCCAGAGGTTCATCATGCCGTCGAGGGTACGTACAGGAGTACTCTCAAAGAACCCACCGCACATCGATGTAATATACCAATGAGGAGGCGTTTGTTGTTTGCTGCCAGCATCAAAAAGAAATTTTAGCCCATTGCCACGGAGGCTATTTGTTGTAACGTTATTCGAAAAGCATTGGATTCCGCACGTTGCGCCAAGGAGCCTTTGTTAACATAAGCTGAAAAGCAATAGATTTCGCACACAAATGCCAGGGAGGCTTTTGCTGCGACTAATAGCGTTTGGATGGGTGTCGCGGCGGTGTGGCACATCATGTGGCGGGTAGCGTGACCGCCGTCGGGAGGCTCCATGTGTGTGTGTGTGTGTGTGTGTTGTGTTTTTTCCCGCTCGGGTATGAGGGTGCCGAGTTCAATCTTGGCTCCGCAGGAGATTCATGTGCGTTGCTGTCGCCACCCACTCGCACGCGATACCAGCCCTTGCGTGCACCAACGATGCACCATCGCTCGGTCTGTGTGATGGGTCCTTGGCACCTGTAGTGGTAGCCCTGGCACCAGCTGGAAGCTTACAAGGTTGTACCCCCCCAGTCCTGTCCTGTCCCGACGACCTGACCTCGCTGCCCATGCACCCTCCCGGCCTTGTACTTGAACCCCCCGGTCCCGAAACCTCGCCCCCACCACGCAGCTGAGGAAGCTCGTCAAGCAGGTCGACAGCGAAGGGGTAACGTTTCTCATGCACGCCATATCTGCCACCTCATTCCACACCGGCGCTCCAACAGCAACAACAACGACGACGTCGACGACGGAAACAATCGGTGGGGGAAAACGGCGATCGGCGGACGAAGAGGCTGGTGAAGGCGAAGGCGGCAATGGTGATGATTACGACGAGGAGGAGGAAGAAGATGTCGCCGTGGCCGCCGCCGTGGCTGCCGCTGGGGAAGGGGCCCCGCGGGATGAGTGGGTGTTGGACCCCGGCATGGCGGTGCTGAAGTCGGCGTTGGCCCTGGTGGAGGAGGTGCTCTGGAAGCAGCAGGCACGTGGTGGCAGCCAAGCAGAGGGGTGTATGCGAAGAAAGTAGTGTGTGTCGTTTGGAAAGAGGCCTGGCACGTGCCAAGCATGTCGCACATGCACTCATTCTCCCGTGTATTGATTGAGACGCAGTGTACGTGGAGACGGACGGACGAAGCAAGCTTCCATCTTAGTTTTCGCATGGAAGCCCCATTTGTGTTGTTCAGAAGTGCGAAGAGTAGCATTTTTCCCCGCGTTCCCCCGGCCACGCGCGCTCGTCGCCCGTCCAGGTGCGCGAGCAGCTGAAGGCGACGGACTCTTGGGGGAGAACGATCTTCGGGCACGCTGTCCTAACGAGGCGCCCAAAGGTGTTCGACGCCGTGTTCTTCGCAGCGAGGGAGCACATTCTCGACGATGAGGTACTGGTACTGCCGTAGGCACTGGTGCTGCCGTAGGTGCAACGTTCGGAGGCACCGCCGCAGCAGCCAGGGCGTGGGTCTTGCCATGTCGGCATGAAAGTCTGTCGTTGTAGCCGGCACTCAATCGGAGGAGCTACGTGGTGTGTGCCATGTTGGCGTTGTTGTTTGGAGGTTGAGAAGCTCGTTCATGCACGGGGGTGTTTTGCCTCTCGGGTCTATGGGCGATGTTTCTGTTGAGAAGGTGCGCAGGAAGCAGCCGTCAGCCACTGAAAACCTAGCGATTCCGCCGAACATGCATGCCATAGTTGGCACAGAGGCACGTACCGTATATGACACAAGATAGCACACCCGCTGGACCGATTTTTCAAAGCTCGATTACTCCACGACGAAGAAGATGCATAGACGAAACGATAAATTTTTGTGAATCTCTCGACGAGACGGTTCCAACGCCGCCGTTTTCGGCGCCGTGACTCCTTCGGTTGTTGAGAAATCGAGATTCGAAAATCGTTCCAGGGGGTGTGTTATCTTGTGTCATTTACGGTAGTCAGCAGCAGCGACGGTGGCAACAGCAGCAGCAGCAGCAGCAGCAGCAGCAGCAGCAGCAGCAGCCAGCAGCAGCGAGTATCGCATATGGGACGTCGGAGATTGTTCGGAGGGTGGCCCTGTGTGTTGATGGACGCTTCACTCCTTGTTGTTTTCTCTCTCGTGTGCCACGTATTCCTTTCTGCCGGCCCCCCTGTGTGTTCCGATTCAGTGGGAGCTTTTAGAGTTTATTTTTCATCAAAGACTGGGTAGAATTCGCAATTCATCCGAGGTGGTGAAGAGGTTTCGAGACGGACTAGGAGGGTATGCAAGATGGATTACGTACGACCATCGCCAAACCGCTGCAGTTAATTGTTTCTTCAACATCTCGGCGTGTCGAGCAGCCGGCGGGCATGTCTGTCTTTTTTTTTGTGGCCAGCCAAGTGTGTCTGGTTGTTCGTATGATCGTGCGTCATTTCGTTTTTAATATTTGTGTCTGGATCGTTCGCTCTGGTGCTCCCCTGCAGCAATTATCGCGTTCCTCCTCCTCCTCCTCCCCCTCCTCCTTCTCGTCCTCCTCCTCCTCCTCCTCCTTTGTCCTGGATGCACAAAAACCAACAGATTGCTGCCCTAATGGGCATCAACAAGGAAGACAAGTCGGACACGGTGATGGAGACCGCACTGCAGACAGTCCCCAGGGCGATGGCTGCGAGGGTTGCCCGTAGAGACCAGGAGCTTAAGGTGGGAAGGCAGGCAGGCAGGCAGGCTGAGATACGGCGCGGCCACCGCCGCCACCACCACCACGCGCAAACGAGAATGTTAGATCCACACACCCGGCAGACGGTAGATGGTTTCACGGTGACGTCGACAAGCAGGCGTTTTTTTAGCGGTTACACAGTTGAGAATCAGAAGCTTGAGTCCTTTTTCGCGAGGAAATGACGCTTTTTTTTTTTCACGATCTTTACCATTCCTGGGTGTGTGAGTTTTCACCCAAGCCGTTCCCTGCCCGTGAACACACGGGTCAAAGTCGGTATACGTTCTCGCTACAACGTTTTTGTTGAAATGGCGGCTCAAAGTCGTTTCCGACGAAGAACAACTGCTGCGCGTTTTTTTTTACGCCGTTGCTGCGGTGTGCATCGGTTCTTGATATTTCACGCATGCCGTTCTCTTCTCCTTCCTAATCCATTGTGTGTTGTACGTTTTTTTCTTTTCAGAGGGCGATCACCCTTGAGGAGCGGGCTTCTACAATCGAATCCAAGATCCAAAGCTTCATCCCTGGAAAGTTGATCGTGGTGAGTGACAAGTGGCGTGCAGCTCTGTGTGGTTGTCGGGCGGTGTGTTTCGGTTGTTTGTGTTATGAAGCTTGTGGCCGGTGAATGACGTTTTCGTGTTTGGTCGTCGATGCCATTGTTCGTAGCTGCTGCTGTTCTTGTTTGTGTTGTTGTTGTTGTCGCTGACGATGCTGTTGTTTTTGGTGTTGGTTGTGCCGGGGGTAATGTCGATGTTTGCGTTTCATCGTCGTTTCAAGTAAATTTTTCTTTTGTGTCTGTGATGGTGGTAGTGATGGTGGTAGTGGTAGTGGTGGTAGTGATGGTGGTAGTGATGGTGGTAGTGGTAGTGGTAGTGGTAGTGATGGTGGTAGTGATGGTGGTAGTGATGGTGGTAGTGATGGTGGTAGTGATGGTGGTAGTGATGGTGGTAGTGATGGTGGTAGTGATGGTGGTAGTGATGGTGGTAGTGATGGTGGTAGTGATGGTGGTAGTGATGGTGGTAGTGATGGTGGTAGTGATGGTGGTAGTGATGGTGGTAGTGATGGTGGTAGTGATGGTGGTAGTGATGGTGGTAGTGATGGTGGTAGTGATGGTGGTAGTGATGGTGGTAGTGATGGTGGTAGTGATGGTGGTAGTGATGGTGGTAGTGATGGTGGTAGTGATGGTGGTAGTGATGGTGGTAGTGATGGTGGTAGTGATGGTGGTAGTGATGGTGGTAGTGATGGTGGTAGTGATGGTGGTAGTGATGGTGGTAGTGATGGTGGTAGTGATGGTGGTAGTGATGGTGGTAGTGATGGTGGTAGTGATGGTGGTAGTGATGGTGGTAGTGATGGTGGTAGTGATGGTGGTAGTGATGGTGGTAGTGATGGTGGTAGTGATGGTGGTAGTGATGGTGGTAGTGATGGTGGTAGTGATGGTGGTAGTGATGGTGGTAGTGATGGTGGTAGTGATGGTGGTAGTGATGGTGGTAGTGATGGTGGTAGTGATGGTGGTAGTGATGGTGGTAGTGATGGTGGTAGTGATGGTGGTAGTGATGGTGGTAGTGATGGTGGTAGTGATGGTGGTAGTGATGGTGGTAGTGATGGTGGTAGTGATGGTGGTAGTGATGGTGGTAGTGATGGTGGTAGTGATGGTGGTAGTGATGGTGGTAGTGATGGTGGCAGCGGTTGTTGCGTGATGCGCAGCCTTTCCTGGCGCGGTGGATCCACCAGGCCCTCTAAATACTGGGGCAAGAAGACCAGACGTGAGTTATGAGCAACGTGTACGTAGAGATACACAACAGCGTTCGGTCTAGCGAAAAGAAGTTTCGCGCATGCCTTGTGGCGTCGAGGTCGAAAAAGTGCCTTTTTTCCCTGCACACGCTCGTATGTTGTCAATGCTCCAATGCTCGCGTTGCAGATCTTCCAGCTTCTTCTGCCTGAGGTCGGTAGCAGCGACAAGCTGACTCTTCTGATCATCATGTCCGCCATCGCTCCAGGTTTGTCCTGGGCGGCGGGCCTGGTCGCCAGGGAGAAACCCGGATCGACCGAAAAAAGGTACATGGTTGACCGCAAACGCCAAGTAGAAAAAGAAAAGTATCTGCTAGCGACCATCTCCCCCCAAGAAGAGGCGTATGTTTTCAAATCAACGTTTTTTTGTCGGATGTCAATCCAAAGAGCAGAATTTCAATGTGGAATGTAGTTCGAACGAATAGCAGAGGAAGAAACTGCCTATGCTCTAGAGATCGGGTACAATAATTGACTTCGGGGTAATGGGTCCATGTCTTGTTTATGTTGTTGGGCCGGGGGCGGGTGCTCGGAACCCCGAGGCGTTCGTTGGTGTCTCTGTTCCTGTCTGCCCCGGCGATGTTCTTCTGGGGCCTTGGAACGAGCACCGTCGGGATGACGCACGGCATGGGCTGGAACGATTCCGCCACCGCTGCCGCTTTGGCCGTGGCCACCATTATCATACCCGCGATGGACGCGTTCTTCAACAGCCGGAAGGTGGAGCAGTGGTATGACAAGGTGCGGCGGAATATGCTTTTTTGTTTGTTGCGTTTTGGAAAGCTCATAGCAAGAACGATTCATCGAGGTGGAGATACTATGTTTCGTCGTTGTCGGGGAGAGTAGTGACGGCCGTATGTTGTGCTGGGGTCGGTTGTGTACCTGACTGGAATGCGGTCACCGCTTTGAGAGCATGGGTAGGGGGTTTCCCTCGTGCTCACTGCCTAGCCTGATCAAACGCTGGCTGCTATGTCAGCAGTGCTCGGGGGGCCGGGCTTTGGCACGGAAAGCTGACTACCGTGCGTTCGGAGGGGTATCATCGAACAACTTGGCCTCGAAGACGACCAACCGTTCCTGCCTCACAGCGACACCCTCGACCCTCCTCCGCGCCATTCCCCGTGATTTGCGTGAGCGTATTGTGCTGTCCAATCCTTCTCACACGCAACACGTGGTTCCAAATGTCTTGGCTCTCACCCTTTCCCCCCCGGCGCCTTCCGTTTTCACACCGGGGTCACCCGGCCGCTACCGTTGCCTCCTGCCTGCACGCCCAAAACGCGGCGCTCTGCTCTCTTGTAATTGGACGGTGACGATCACTGTGACTGTCAACTGCCTGCCAGTGGTCTTGCCAACGCTGGCGGTTCTCACAGCGGGTGAGGCGCATTTCCAGGTTCCTACAGGCCTTCACGCGCTGTTGCTGGGGACCCCATGCTCTTTTTTGTATTTGTTCTCTCGATCACAATTTCGCTCTACTTGTTTTCAGTCTATTGTTTTTGACTGCCCAATTCGGAAGTGTTTCGGTGTGGCTTGGTGCGTTGTTGCTTGAACAGCTCGACTACTGCAACCGCAGCGTGCGGATGGACTGAACGAACAACCAACCGCTCTTGGGGAGGGGTTTGGAGGTTAGCGCACACTGTCTACCCCATTCCTACACCATTACTGGATGTTTTGCCACTGACATCTAACCTTGTTGGAACATGTCGAGGGCGCAAGCGAGGAAAGAAGAATGGCGGAGCGTGCTATAGAACCCCTGGAACCATCCACCTAAGTGAATTGTGACCCAATCTCTTGGCTCGACCATGTGTGTCTCTGTCGACCCCTTGTCTTCTGGTGCACGTGTATTTGATTTGGGGATGCCGGGGACCCCGCGGCTCTCAGGCCCACGCGAAGTGGGTGAAAAAGCACGGGAAGGTTTCGCCTGCTGCTGCCGCTGCTGGTCCTCGTGCGACCGATAGCTCCAAGGTGCGAGGACGTCCTTCGAAAGCAGTGTGAACGTCGTCTCTCTAGTACCCACATTCGGGCGGACTCGCCTTGAACTCTACTTGCCACCGCAAAGCGATCATCTCGCTTGGTTTTCGAACAAGAAGTTGTTGCGGCAGCGTCTGGCACCCCCCCGTTTCGTGTCAGCTGGCATCAGGCCCTTAGACCCACGCTTTGTGTCACACGCCATTGACAACAGGGTTAGCTTTTTATTCCACAAGCCGTTTTGGGGGGGGGATATCATTGATATCTGCCGTCACTACAACAACGTGTTGTTGAAGTGTCTCGTCGAAAAAACTTGAGAGGGTAGTTCGCGACATGACGGGAACTAACGCCGCCAGTCGGTTGCCCCGTATCCCCCCCAGGCGCACTCCACCACGGTGATACCGGCGCAGCAACCTGGCCCTGCGGGGGGCACTAAGCGCGGCAGCTACCAAGGGGGGGTGGGGGGGATGTTGCGGGACAAGGACAAGATTATCGAGGAGGAAACGAAGCACCACCTGGAGCACTCCCCTCCACCTTCGCCGCCGCAGCCGCCGCCGCCGCCGCCGCCGTAACAGCAGCAGCGACAGCCAGACCCGGAGAATCAAAAAGACGGCGGCGACTGACAAGTCACGGTGCCGGAACAGCAACATCGGCAATAGCTAGACTCCAAGAGTCAGAACCAAGACGGGGGCGACCAACGGTCATGGTTGTCCCACACCGAAGCCGCAGCGGCAGTCGCAGCAGCAGCCACAGGAACGGCAGCCATGCCCCGAGAATCAGAAGCAAGGGGGTGGGCGAAAACATCAGTCCTGGTGCTTGGCGGAGGCGCGCAACTTACGGGTCACTTCCGGGAATATTTTTTTGCTCTTGTAAGATACCGAGGCTATGACGCTCTCTTGTTTTCTCTGGGGGGCACAATTCAGCAGCTAGTCACTTATTGTAAAACAGTTTTTTGCGTGTTGCCCTGTAATTTTCGACCGAACACCTGTCGTTGTCAAGTTCTTTCGTCTGTTTCTTTTTGAGCCTGGGTTTGGTAACTCCGAGGTTCACTTGTTTCAGTAGACACTGGGTGTTGTGGTGTGGCGGCCGGGGTTGAATACTGTAGTGAGTAGATTTGTTGCCGGAAGAGGCGACGCAATGCTGCTGTGTGTGTGTCTCTGTATTTTTAGCGTCGACCGCGCTAGCAGGCTGACCAATGTATGAGTGCGGGGGTCTCACTAGCAACCATCACGCGGGCTAGCCGGCCGAGGCATTGCAAGGGCGCCGGGTTTTTTGTATTCAGCGGGACAAATAGCCGCGAACACCAGTAGTGGTCGGTGTGCGTGTTTTTGCCTTTGGCGTTTTCTTTATTTTGTTGTGAAGAGGATCTCGTGCAAAGTGTTGTATATGCATCACACTCCTTGACCTTCGATATCAAGTCAAGTATCGTCACCGGCCATTTTTGGCGTGTATCCGACAGCCGAACAACGGCCTTAAGTATGAATATCTCGGTAGATTAATGTCCAGGCGCATCCGGTGTTAATCTTATCTGTTCCATTGTAAACAAGTCACTCTTTTGCGTGTCTCCTTCTCGATTTTTTTTTTTTTGGCCCACAACTGCGTAGACGAGATATCAGTAGTACCAGTGAGTGTGTCGTGACATCGTTTTTGTTGGTATGTAGCAGCACGATGACGCAAGCGCGCATCTGCCCACCTACTGGATCTCTCTTCGTCTTTTTGTGACTTTTCTGTCATGATCAATTGCGTGGCACGCCCCGCACGTGCGTCCATGCATGTTCTCCTCTTACTTGTGGTCCCAGGTATCTGCACGTATAGTTCATTGGGTTTATGTAAATTGGAGGTGATGACGCACAGTTCCTCGAGGTACAAAGTTTCCGAGCACGGGCATCGTTCACGGTACATGGTTGCGAAGGACGGTTCAATTAGATTTGTTGAAAGTGCAAGGACGCGGCGCATTCGTTACTTTTTTTGTACGCGCGCTTGGTAGGGAAAACGGCTGGGTTCGTCCCGCCAGGACAAGAACTTCCTGGTAGAATCCGTTTATTCGTTGGGTGCGTCCGATATATTACCGTTCATGTCCGTATTTGCTTCGATCTGCAGGTTGCGCTGACGAACGCGGGTCTTCAAGAAGATGTAATTGTGCTGTGGTTCGATGAGAAAGTCACATCGTTCTTTCTGTGCCACGTGGACGGCTCAACACGACACATGCGAAGCGACGCACGCGGGTTTGCACTCTACGTCCTGCTCTTCAACAGAGCTCATCGCCCAATGCACAACCGAACCCTTAAAGGTGCACGGGCCTCTTATTGGTCGTTTACTTGAGGAAAACACAACGCACGTGCCAACGCCGCCTTCGTGGACGCGTGTGTGGGATATCGTATCGAAATCAATTTCGTTTTTTCCAGGCGAGCCTGTGTAGACTAGGGCAGTACTCCGTTGCTGGTTCCGTCATCGCGACGCAAACATAATGGAACCAGAGCCGGTAGACTGAGTGCATCTCTCGAAAGCGCCTTGTTCTGGTAATGCCACCCGTCTTCAGTACTTTCGGTGCTGGGAGAGCGATTGGACGTTCAGGAGGGGTGACGATGAACCTGTGACGAGTAAATCGCAGCTGTTGCTTCACTGGTAAGTGTGACGAAAAAACAAGACAAAAAATGGGGTGCCTTCAAAATCTAAACGCGTCTCCCGACGACCGTAATGAGCAGATGTTTGATTGAATGTACATAGGCGCTTTGATCGTTTCCTGGCATGCATTCCATACCCTCGGCCATCGAATGAAAGGTAGGAGCTTTAACACGATCCACGGGATTGCATTACCGCCAATCTCGAAATTCACAAAGTATCGCGCTTCTGCTTGCTCTCTACGACGGACCAACCGTCATCCTAGAAAGTTGGCAGTACTCTCGGCCCACCCAAGAAAGTAATCAAGAGCGTTACTCTGAAATATTTGCGGGGAGTATACCCATGGGCTCTTCCCACACTCTATTAGGCATATTGGAGCTGTGAATACAAACCATTTGATCAACGGAGCTAGTTAAACTACACTTGTGAGGACACGTTTTTCCACTCTGAACCCCTCGTGGCTTCTTTACCCCAGCTTACGCACGCCGTCTGCAAACACTCGGTGAAACGGATAAAAGAGGTTCTGATTCATGGCCCGACGCCGCCAATGCCAAGACTTTTTGAAGTGACACTTCGCGTCAACAGACATCAAGCAAAGTGAATCCTACATTGCCTGGCTGTTCAAATCAACTCTAAGAGTAGTGCACAAGCAGCTGGCGTACAGTCGTGTTTTCACTCGAGCAGTGAGGGGAGTGTGATCATTTGGTGAAGGCACCGGACAGAATATCGTCAGCACATCAAAGTTCGTGTTGCAAAATTCACGGGATACGATTAAAGTATCGGACATCACCGAGGGGGGCTACTTCACATTCTAAGATAGACTGATGCCCTTGCAGCCCCGTACATACCGCAGTGGTTTCGGTTCACTACCAGAGCCGTGACCATTGGCGGACGTCGGCCGGCGTCGCATTCATTCATCCATCGAGAACAGATGTCGGTTCCATGGCCCTCCAATGACCCACGCCCCTCCACCGAGGTTGGAACTCCGTTCACCTCAGTGAAGTCTCCGTACGAAACGTCTCCAATCTTCATCCGATATGTCGCCGACCGCCGACGACGTGATGGTTGCAGAGTGATGTGATGGCGTGGGATCGTCCGGTTTTGCGAAGTGTGTGGCTGCCGAGCGTAAGGGCAGAACCGTCTTCGACGTGGATGAAGAAAAGATCTGCATGCAGCCCACTCGACGCCTTGACACAACAACATTCCCGCGTGCCTAAGGAAAGAGCGCCGGCTGCACATAACCTAAAACACGACAAGTTTTGAATGCATGTCATCTCCCCCAGGCCCGTGCCCAAGCGAGAGCGAGAACGGTATGATAAGTGGATGGTACGTCGCTCTTCTGAGGGTCGGAAAGAGAGATTTCCTTGCCCTCATGGATAGCAGCATGGAAGCTACGCCGTCCGGCTTCATGGTTTGATGGGAAGTGGATGCGGCAAGTCTGCCCCCATGAAAGCCCTTTCGACAACCGTGATAGCCCGGAGGAAAAGTAGTTTCCTTGATGTCGTCGTCGCCTTCAAAGAACAAATTATTCGGGGCCACTCCGATCCCCTTCCCCCTCCCCATTTTTTTTTGCACAGTATTCATAAAGAGTAATTTACTTCCGTACCGGCTGACACCGACGCTTTCCGTCGCAGGCCAACCACTCGAACAGGTACGCACTTTACTAAAAACACGTCGCAATCGCGATAACAAAACACAAACAACATTGCACAGGAAGAACGGCGCCAGCCAGACAACACATCAGCCGTCGCTTGAGACATGTCCGGCGCAAGGAAAAGAAAAACATAAAAAAAAAAACTGTTTTGAGTCCATCGCTCCCGCTCGGTAGGCGATGCCCAACAATAAACCCCAAACAAAGGTAGCATCAAAGATCTTGCGACAGAAAACCTCACTCTATTGGCCTCCGCATGAACACTACGTGCGTTGATTTCCGTCCCCAATCACAAACGATCCGGCAGACCAGACTACCGTTGTAGTCACAGACAAGATGATAGTTCCCGCACACATTTAACGGGTGAAGGCAACGGGGCTCCGGGCCCTACACCTACAAGGGAATAGGCGCCGTGTTTGGTGTGCAAGCTGGCTCCGAACCTCCATTTCTACTGTACATCAAACTCAGCAGTCAACCTATCCCGGTCATTCTGGTCAAAGCCCATCAAGGGCAATAAGAGTTCCACGAGAAGATTTGGCAACGCACGAAACCTTTCAATGTCGGGATATACCTATACGTCTGACGCTGGATAGGGTGCTGCTCTATTCGGTGTTTTTCCGTCGAACACTCCCACATGGCAACAAGGGGACGTGAGTGTTTGACATCAACCAGATCCACGCCCACAGTGAACAGGGGGACGCGAGTACTTGACATGCAGCAACTAGATCCATCAAATCAGCAACTACATCCGTCAAATCAACAACGAGACATACAGTCGTACAAGCAGCAGCATCCATTCCAAACAGCAACATCCATTGAAAACCATCAAGATCCATCCAAAAAGCAGAAAAATTCATGAAACAAAACCCCGTAAACCTAAAACAAATAGGCGAACAAGGCCCATGCTAAAGTTAAAATGATCCTTGAGACAGTAAACAAGTTTCAAAATGCAGGAAGAGATCCATTATTATACGAAAAACGGTCGATAAATGATTCACGACACATCAGCAGGATTTCAGCAAGAAACAACCCTGGGGGAAGAAGTCGACCGTCCAACTCGGGCCCGGTGTGCTCCACGTCCACGCAACCCTTCCACCCTGGCTCCTGTAAGATTATTGTGTCAAGTCAAGGGTTATGTTCTGGTCGATGAGGGGAGTACCCTCGAATGCACTAGTACCTCCAGCCAGAGATGAGAGGGTGAGAATAGAAGCCATGCCCGCGGTCGATGGGTCTTGTCTCCTCGTGCCAAACCAAAATCCTCCGATCAGAGATGAGCGGGTTAGAAGAGGATTCATTCCTCATTCCCACGGCATCTCCCGTCCGAGGAGCCGATAGAGGCGCTCGTTGTGTGGCCGGTACCACTCCTGCAATACTCGCTGGTCCTCGAGCATCTTTTGGTACCTTTGGCGGCCGCGGGGGGTGGGGGGGGGGAATATGTTTCGCACACGTCGGCAGGGAAGGGGGAAAAGACATTGTGAGTTAGGAATGTGAGGATCTTGAACCATCAACGGTACACTTATTGGCGCATGGAATGATCAGTTCTAGATGGACATGGCTGTTTCTGGTATTTGTTCGACAAGAGGGTACATAAGATGGTATACGCAATATATAGCATTCATCTACAGAAGGTTGCCAACGCGTCGGTCCACACCACACACGCCTGCCGAAAAGGGGAACAAGGTGATTCAACCGTGTGTCAATGTTGGTTGCTGCCCACTTTTAGCCAAGGATTGAAATATCTCAGGGAAAGGAAAAACTACTCCGCAAAAAAGAATGCCGTCTGCAGAGGCCGGAAAGCGGAAAAGCGCCACCACCTGCACGGCGCACACACACCTGGAACGCTAGGCTCAGACCTGCTATGTTTCAGAAAGTAAATATATATGGTGAAGCGCCCTGAAGCACCCGCCCTCAAGGACCTTTAGTTTTTGAAGAGGCGGGGGCTCAAACTTCCTTGGCTCATGGCACGAAGTGGTCGTAATGTATACGTTTTAGTGGAAGGGGTTGTTTTGCGAGCTCACAGCTGGTGCTCAAGTTCTTACTGTAGTATTGTCGAGGCTCGATTTCTTGACCGCCCTCGCGTAACAATGTGCGGACTTTTTCTTGTGTCTAGTGTACCTTCCGCCCTCTGCAAACAACTCCGGGTGGTTTCGCTCGCACGGGGCGCTGGCGTGCTGGTGCCTGGAGTCGTACTCATAGCCGTGCGGCGGCAGTCCGATGTGCCTGGCCACCTTGTCGAGGGTGCCGGTGAAGTTTCCGAACATCTCCGAAGACTCCAAGACAAGAATCTGCTTCGATTTGACGGGGGGGGGCGGGGTGTACTCATAGCCGTGCATGCCGTAGTCGTTAGACCATTGACCCCGCATCCCTACAAAGCCGGGACGGAGCACGCCGGGTTCTCACCGGACCAGGGCTCTCACATCACCAAGCGCGAAGCGCCGTGAGATATTCGGCGAGTCGCATGAAGGGTCCACTGCATCCTGCGGGGTTTTCGGCATCTTGTGCTTACTTCCTTGCGTACGGATGAGAGCTGCGTATAACTCAATTTATTTTCTGGTGTTCTCACTTCCAGAGACAGTTGTAAGCACTGTGTAACTGCCTCGAGGGTGCGTGACCATTTTAACACAACGTGGTGCGATCATCCCCGTTGCGCGGAGTGAGGGTTCTCCACCCCGCACAATATGATCTACTCGACCACCATTATGGTTACCGCCAAAAAAAAAACGGAGGTAAAAAAAACCCCGGTAACCTGGTTGCCGAGTTCACGAAGTGAATTGGCTTGTTTTACAACGTCGTTGCCAAGCGACGAAAACCCAATCCCGATGGCAAACACCGGGGGGGGGCGGCTTGTTTTACAACGTCGTTGCCAAGCGACGAAAACCCAACCCTGATGGCAAACACCGGGGGGGTTTGACGGGGTGGGGGGTAATCGTGCTTTTTTTGGGGGGGAGGGGGGCGGTGGAATGAAATACCGTACGTCAACAAAATAAAAAAGAAGGTATACTTTTGACCGTCTGGCACACAGCTCTTGTTAAGGGCATGGCCCTACGGAGCACTACAGGCTTGCCTACATATGCTGCTTCAAGCGTATCTACCCTTTTGCCCTAACGCCATCCGAAAAAAAATGCTTCTCACCTGTGATCGGGGATACACCCTGAACCATCTCTCCAGTTGGTCCGCGTAGAGACCACGGTGGAGCGGGTCGTGCGTCACCATGGCCTTCCAGCAACGTAAGAGGTCTTTCGCCCTTGCCTCCTCCCCCCGACACAGCGGCGTGTAAGGCTTGTAGCTCGCCTCCCCCTGTTGTGTTTTTTCGATTATCGCCACATGGGCGGACAAGGAACAAGTGCACGGGTTCTGCGCTTGAACGTGACGGGAATTCAGAGAATTCTGACGACTTGTGTGGACGAATGGATGACAGCTACTACTACCGTAGAAATATCACCTGGGTTTCGCCCAAACACGGGAACCAACAACGAAACCTTGTCGACCTTATACATGTGGCGTGGGGTCCCTCTCACGCCAAAGAGCACATGTTGACACAGCAGTGGTCCCCTCACTGTAAGGCCGAATGGGGATCTTGGAGGCCTTCATATTGTCAACCGGCGCCATCCAGAGCACGAGACAATTTGATTATTCCACCGGTGCGCCTCCCGATTTCACTGGCCACACAGTCGTAGGGAGCCAGAGAAAAGAAACGTCAAGATAACACGCAAGTTTCTGAGGATCAGCGCACTCGTGTTGTAGCCATAATGGGACACTGCGACATTGCTTCACATGCGAGAACGGCTTACTCGTTCGAGGTACTCCTTGACCCGCCCTGGGATATGGAAATATGTTTTTTGTCGTTTCTCGAGATGGTCGAAAGTTTCGCTGTCCCGTGTCCAGCACATCATCATTCGCAGGTGAGAGAAGTACCTGCGTCATTCACGGGTGGCAGGCAATAGAGAGAAGGCGAGGTGGAGATGGAGACAGTGAGAGTGAGGCACAGGAAAACGGAGAGAGAGAGAGAGAGAGAGAGAGAGAGAGAGAGAGAGAGAGAGAGACAGACAGAGAGACAGAGAGAAACAGAGACAGACAGACAGGAAGACAAACGGAACGGTCCTACACAGCAACGCCGCCCGATTCCTCACCCTCAAACACACCACCTGCCGATGAAACCGAAACAACCAAAGCCCCACCCCAACGACGACCTCACCTCTCCGTGGGATCTCTGAGAATCAGGACGAGTCTCGCCGCGGGAAGAACCATCTTCATCCGGTAGGGCGCAAGGGGATAGAAGAAGTACAGAGGCGTCGACTCCACCGTTGCCATGGTGTCGCGCTTGCGAGGGTCAACCTGCGATTTTCAGGCGGGCGCGAGGGATCGATCCACGCCGAGAGGGGAAGCATCGCATAACCATTCGGAGCACAGAACGCGGCGGAACTCGTTTCTGGTGGTGCCGCTGCCACGCCGACGTTTTTGCCTCGGAGAAAAAAAATAAAAATACCCCAAGTTTTGGGGGGAGCCATCGCGAGTGCGCCGGAGAAAATGGGCGGCCACGCTAGGAGGCCTGCATGCCTCATCCAACCCCACCGACAAACCAACAACGCACAAGAAAGACTTAGGCACCACACGAAAACCACGCTGGTAAGACTCAGCAAGAGGCAGGTCGATTTTGATAGTGGCGGGAGGGTTGGCGGCGGGGCTGGAGGCCCGATCGGAGAACGCGCGGAAGAGAGAGAAAGAGAGAGCCGTTGGGGCTGTAGAGCGTCATTGGGGTTGTTGTTGGTACCCGTTGAAAGACCAGCGCCGCAGATCGACGGGGATGTGTCGTTCAGTGCACGGTTGGTGGTATCCTTCACGTACGAGGTTGCAGATCGGTCGCACGCGTTTCGCCTTCCGAACAGGCCAGGTAGGTCACGCACCAGGGTCGCATCGCTACAGGTAATGATACTCGTCAATGGTGTGGGAAGAGTCAAACCTCAGTTTACGGAGGAGTTTCTACAAAAGCACGAAAAATTGCCCGGTCGTGGGCACCGCGCGTATTCAATGTCTAGGAGAAAGTCGATGACATGGGTGCCAGGGCGTGAGACTCTGTCTGAGGGCGGTCAAGAGACGTAAACCGTGGTATATACGCCCGTCGTCTGCATTCATCCGCATGCCTGTCTCTATTTCTCTCTGTCTACCTCTGTCCCTATCTCTGCTCTGTCCCCCTTTCTGTATCTGCCTGTATCTACATAGGTATGTATCGGGCTGTCTTTGTCTCTCTCTCTCTCTCTCTCTCTCTCTCTCTCTCTCTCTCTCTCTCTCTCTGTCTCTCTCTCTCTCTGTCTCTGTCTCTGTCTCTGTCCCTCTTTCTCTTTCTCTCTCCCTCCCTATCTTATTCTCGGGCACTCCTACGCAGAAGACGTCGAGCCAAATGACGGCCAGAGGGCGCTCACCGCTTCCATGGCCCTGTCCGCGTAGGCCGAAAGGACTTCACCGGCTGCGCTGGAGTTGAGGCCAGCACCACCACGGCCATCCCCCCGCCACTCGTGACGGCTCTTGGGATCGCTAGTGAACCTGCGGGACACGACGAACCAAGAGGGGCGGGCAGGGGAGAACAAGTGGCGCCGAGCGCGGAGCGACAACGGCCGTCAAAAGGGAGAAGAGACTCGCGAGGCGTTGTTGATTCGCCTGCGGCGTTCTCAAGAAGGTTCGAGTACGGATACTTGCAAGAACGTGTATACTTGGAATAGTTCAACACTGTCCTATAGCGGCTGGTACGCATGTGGTCAGCATTCAGCACAATGGCATGCTCGTTCAAACACCAGACTCAACGCCTGATGAAACAGGCCGTGGAAAAGGCACGAAATCACGCTTGCCCAGAGCTGTCGAAAAGGGAGCCATACCCGGCAACGTATCTGACAACATCAGGGCCAAGGTAGAAGGTACAACACCAAAGCCACTTTTGGGGAGGTCAATCTCAGGGAACACCGGCCCTCTATCCCTTCATGAAACACCTCGCGCAAAAAACGAGAGGGAGAGCAAGCAAGTCGGGCTCTGGGGCCGGACTCTCCACCTCCCTATTTTTCTGAAATTTCTGCTGGATCGTTTCCGATGACTACTTGCGTTCAAAGGCACCGCTCTCACAGGCTCCAACGATGACCACCTACCTACCCCTTTCGGTCCCAACAAAGCAAAAATAGCCTTATTACACACGCGAAAGGGCGAGACAAGTTAGGGTCAAGTCGCTCACTTACCAGAACCAGTCGAAAAAGTGCGCCTCTTTCTGCCTCAACCCTGACAGCGAGGGGTGTGTCAGCAGATGGCTGCGGAGATTCTGCGTCCCCCCTTTCTGCAAACAATGTACCAGAAGTTAAAAAAAAAAGTCCACGGGTCGACGTGGTGGGAAGGCCGGGGGGACGTCAGGGAACAGACAAGCGGCCCTGTTCTGCGGTGATAAAGATTTCTTTCTGATATCAGCGGGCGGTCGGTCTGCCACGTGGAGACTCGAGGAGTCAGGTGATTGGTCAACAATCCCGATCTTCATGGGGGTGGAAGCGGCTACGCTTGTCACAAATGTAAGAAAGCGTCTTTTTCAGAGCTTCGTTCCCACACGGCAGCGTATTCTGTACCATGGCGTATGTACCGCGAAGAATTATCGCGGTAAAGCAGTACCTGCCTCGTCCGCCTGCTCTCTGTGTAGGGCACCGCCCCTGGACGCCGATCGATCAGATCTTTCGTCAACAACGCCAACGTTCCCCCAGAGGAGCGGAGACAAATTAACGTGCCGGAACAAGAAATAACACGGGTTGATGCGGAAAAAACAACACGACGCAGCCCTACCCCTAACCCTAAACAGCACTCGCCTGAGTCCCGATAATGATCGCCAGCGGGATAGACCTAGAGGCCTCGGGTCCCTTCCCCGGGGGCCGGACGATGGGAACGGGAAGGATGGCGTTGCCGCTGGCTGACTGCTCCGTCGCGTAGGCCTCGAAGCTCTCGTAGCGCTTTAGGGAGAACGGCGCCTTGCCGCCACCGTCCCGGCGTTGATATTTTTTAGGGGGGGCGTTCATTTGCGCGCATTTCGGCCGGATAACATCGGTTGCACACGCGGAATATTGAGGAGGTGTTAAGATCTCGCCGATGCACACGCGATGCGGCACCAGCCGTGCAAATTTACGCGACAATAGACCAAGCGACACACCCCGCGTTCGACGTCAACGGTCTCAGAAAAGGAGGGTTCCGGAACGTTGTGCAAGTCAATAGTTTTTCAAGAAAAACGACAATGATTTGCGACCGAAAGTGTCTCACCGAAAGAGAGTTTTTCCACCTTTCCCGTGCCGTGAACTACTTTCGCCCGCAGACCGACAACAACTGCCTCTCCGGCCGGAGCTTGGGTTGCAGAACATATCCATCCACCATTCCCTCCCACCAAACTTCTACGTTTTCTACCCGGGTCCCATCTTGCGTGAGTCCATCCATGTCTTTTTCACGACGAGGGTTAGTCATGTCCCTGTGCAACAAACAGGTCCCATGTTTTGTTTTCACTTTTTCGGGTCAAAAGCTAGCAACAGGCCAAATACCGTCTGGTGTGAGTCAAAACCGGCATTGTAAGAGTGGCGTGGCGTGTTCGGCAGTCTCACCCATGCTGATATAGCGCTATCGCCCCCCCCCCCGCCCCCGTCCAGTTCTTCAGCGAGAGCGGAAGCCCTTCTTGTTTCTCCGCCTATCCGACGGCCGCTTCCTCCGCTTGTGGCGACGGCTTCTCCTCCCCGGGAGAGTCGATCGCCGGCCGCTCTCCGTGGCAGCAGCAGCAGCAGCGGCGGCGGTGGCGGCGGGCGGGCGGGCCCCGCGCTCGTCGGCGGCGCTTCTTCTCCGCGCTGGAGTGGTTGGATGCCGTTGGGGGAGCGGACGGCGAGGAAGACGCCGGCAACAACCACGCACACGATCGTCGTCACTGCTGTTCTAGTAGCGGTCGCCGAGGCAAGGCCGGAAGTAGTAGCCGAAGGTCGCCGTAGCGGTGGTGGTCGTCGTGCCCACCGCTGCTCACGCCAAGGCTGGGTGTCGGTGGCGGGATTGGAAGACGGTGTCGTAGACAGCCGGCCGCTTTCAAGGCCTCGTCCTGGCACTTGCCGTTGCTGTTGGTCGCGCTCCATTTGCTGTGTTGTCTATGTGCAAACAGACGAGGCTCTTCTGCTCCCCTCTGCCTCTGCTTATTCTGCTGTGGTTAAGGCACAGCATACGGGGGGCCCGGGGGGGGGGGGGGGGGGGTATGCTCAGGGCACACACACAACGGGGCTGCTCCAAAATGATATCGTACCGTCACGTACACGAAGTGCGTGCCTGCTGTCAATATTGTGTGACGGCGACGTAGAAGTGATGGGGGAGCCGGCAGCGATGGACAGCCCTCGATTGTGCCGGGCCAGTGACTCGGGGGGGAGAGAGAGGGAGAGAGAGGGAGGGAGAGAGAAAGAGACAGAGACAGACAGAGACAGAAACGAGCCGTGGCACAGGCGGCTTTTGGGAATGAATGTCAACCGATGGAATGACAACGCCGCGCGGGGGAAGCAGCCTCGACCCGGCAAAATCCTTGTGCACGACTGCGTGTTTGCGGGAGTCTTAGTAGGTCTAAATTCTACGCTTTTCTGTGTGGTCGTCGATCAATCGAAAGACCGCTTGAGCGTCGAGCGGGTAGGAGAGCTGGCCCGTGGGTGTTCAAAAGCACAGGGACACGAAGGCCTTCCCTGAAATTAACGCGAAGTATGCATATGTGTCCTAATGCATATATTACGGAGGCGACGTGTACGTTGCACTCTCAGATTTGCAGCCGGACCTGTGAAACACTGGAACCTTCCGCTACCGATGTGTGGTGCCTTCCCTGAAATTAACGCGAAGTACGCATGTGTGTCAGTATGCATATATTACGGAGGCGACGTGTGCGTTGCACTCTCAGATTTGCAGCCGGAGCTGTGAAACACTGGAACCTTCCGCTACAGATGTGTGGATTTATGCGTAGGTCCAATACGATCTCCGCACAAATCTCGACCCAATGCCAGACATGACCACTCGCATGACTTTGGACCTTCACTGCACTGCAGTATCATAGGAGGAATACTTTTTCGTTGTATCTGGCTTTTTTCTCGGATTAGTAGAGGAATTCAGGCGTACGCACAAGTTCATGCAGTGGGGTGGCCTCTACTGTGCGGGTATGTGTTGAGCGCTTTCACCCGCACTAATAGCGGGCACCCGCCATACATGGTGTCGGGCCTGATTAGTGCGAGAAGGCGCGCGTTTCGCGACATCACTGGTATAGAGCACGCACAGGGTAAATCGAAGGTCGATGCACATGGCAAAGTTGTGTGCGCAAAACGCGCAGGGTAAAAAAATTCGACGTGGCGTCTGCAGGATAGAAGTCTGGGTTCGTTCGTGGGTAAGACGAGAACGCAACAGCATGTTGCGAACACTGCGTAGCGGTGATACCACATCGAATAACAGAACAACGGATATACGTGGTCCATGAGATGTTGCGCAATGAACGCTGGTAGCAAAGGTGTGCTGCTCCATTGTGTAATGTTCCCCTCGTACATTATGAAATATTCACAGGAAAATCTACCACTGGTACGAGGCAAGATCTGCAAAAACAACCAACATTGCCAAATCACGAGACACGTCCGTCCACACAAGTGTTCAGCAACTTTCAACACGACCCAGAACTCCAGACTCCTACAGGTACGACAAGGAAAGGGGGAACACCCCATGAACTAAATCAAGAGCACACCAACGAGGACCCAGCCTATCCGCTTCCCCCAACAAATCCATCACTAGTCTACACAACGTCACGACGTTTGCGGGGATTGATGGCAATGGGTGGTATGCACGCATGCATGAAGAAACACAACGAGGCGTGAACTACTGTACTGCTTGCTGCAGCTCACTCAACACATGTACTTCAGACACCGTATGCGTTCGGTACCAAAAATAACGGTGAGGCAAAGGGTGGTCGCATTGTGACCATTGAAGGCGTCCGCGTTTAGTGGACCAGTGCGGACATTCGAACGTAACGAGAGGAGACAGGAACGGCTTTTGCAGCAGTGTGAAGACAACACCAACGCCATCATCATCAACAATAACAACAACAACAACAACCACAACCATAACCACATCCACAGCCACAACCACAAACAAGACATGAGAGGCTTTGCTGCGAAAAAATGCTGGTTCAGCTGTGTGTGCCGGGAAGTGTGCTCGTTTGACCCCTCAGAAGGGGATGTGATATCAGTACCCGCACTATTGAGGGTCTTTAAAAAATATTTAACAATATTAATTTTCAAAATTGGAAAGAGACAGAAGGGGTGCCCGGAATAGTGCTCACCGCACTATTGAGGGGTCGAAGTTGCGCCAGGCGATTTCATCCGCACTACTGAGGGCACCCAATTGTACTACTGCTGTAGAAGGAAGACTCCATCCTCCCTCAAAACACAATATGTATCACTGGCAGTACTGCAACACATGATATGCATCCCTTCGAGCTGCTTGTTTTTATGTTCTCCATCCAGCGGATAGCCTCAGAGGTTATCGATATTATGCCATACTATGCTGCAATATATTTCTACTTTGTACATGTACCTGTCGTTGTGCTCTGCCCCTTCGTCGAATCGGGTTGTCCGTGATGCGCTGACCTCCACGCCCGAACAAGCACTATGCAAAGACCACAGTATACCTGTAGACAATAGCACGATCAAGTCAGCGCCAACCTACTGAAGCATCTATCCACGACGGTGAGTTCACCCCACAGCAACCGCTGGTCTTTCGGTGAAAGCAGGCAAATAGGGTCCACACTGGGACGCAAGTGCAGCGAGACTGTTCGGTATCAACCATTTCATTGCCTTCGACAAAGTCAGAGGGTCGACACGCATGCGCGCAATGTGCGGGACGACAGCGCCGTGTGGCTCTGTGCGACGTTGCTCGCCCGCCGCCGAAAACCCGTGATTGCTGCAGTTCAAGTGCCCGCCGCTGTGTTGCACGAGCATGTGCCTAGTCCCTCCATTTGCGTCATTGTTTGGCTTGTCCACGCTGTGGGTCGGGCAAGGACGAGACAAAATGGAATACTCGTTCTTTCGTTTGCGATCGAATATCTGACGGGGAAGACGGCCTGATCGACTACCCCCAACCGCCAGACACACGCACCGTACCCCTAGATTTCAAGGCGTGCAGCTGTAGGACCATCCCTCGCTTTCGTCCAGCAGTCGTGTAGCCTGAGCGAGGAGGTGAATGGGGCCCACGCCAATTCCACAGGCTAGAGAGGTGAGTGGGGTCCACGCCAATTCCACAGGCTAGAAGTTTTTTTTTCCCATGTGACAGTTGCGAACTCAAAAACTTTCCGAAATGAAAGGATTTTTAGAGCCGAGGGAGGTTTGGTTTGTGGAAACTTTCACGGTATCTCGATTTAGCAACATTCTTCGAAGGAACACATCACACGCACCACCGCACGCACACACAGCAGTCTGCTGAGAACATGTCAGCGCGGCCAAAGAGAAGGCCAGGGCCCAGCGACAGGCCTTGGAGTTGGCGCGCCACCAACATAAAAACAGGGAGGCTGCACCGTCAGAAAGTTGGATTTGTTTCCGCCTGGCTTGAGGTCAGCAACACGCCCGTCAGATCGAGGCAAGGGGGAGGAGGAGCGCACGAACCTAGAGGTGGTGGCAACGCCGCCAGCAATTAAGAGCAGAGAGGAGGAAGAGCACGTAGTGGCCTCCTGGTGAAGGCGGGCGCGTCCTTCCGCGCGCAAGAGTATTTTCTCTNCGGTTTCCCCTTGTCCAATTACTGTCTTGATTCGCTTTCAAAATACAATATAGCGGACACCACGCATGCTAAAAATCTCAAGCAGACGCCCCGGGGATGGACACCCTCGGCGCTAATAATTGGTCAGGCGACACACAAGTGGTGGACACCGCGAAGGTGGTCGTAAACGAACAATCCTCGGCGAACTCCGATTGTGTGCAATATGAACAAGTAGGGCGGACACCCAACGTGAACAAGTATTAGTCACACACCCACGNCAAGAGCGTTTGACTGGGATGTACCTCCCGGTCCCAAACCCCCGTCTCGGCCGAACGCGTTTGACGCGACATCGCCCTTCGTTCAGAGGCTGTTGTCGGCCAGTGTACAGTAATCACTTCCTGTCTCCGTACTGGTGTGGTGCGATTTTGTGTGCTGGGGTTGAGGGAGCGACGCAGACACGGACACGCGCACGCACGCACGCACGTACACTCAACAGCAGCAGCAGTGAGAGCCCCTTGTCATCAAGCAAGGTGCACATCAAGCTGTCACGCAGCGCACCACGAAGAAACAACAACAGCACCTGCGGACAGAGGGGAAGTTCGTGGGAGGACTGTTGACCAACCGTCAATCACATGAAGCCGCTTGAATCTGAAAAATTTCATCACCTGCACGAAGTTTCCAGGAAACTTTCTTATCTCAGAATCTGCTTGCCTCAAACGGAAAAATTGGAACCCCAGTCCGAACTTTCGATTACTGCTGTTGTCAGTTGACTTCACAATAATAAAACGTTCCGATCTCTCTCTACCGAGTACCTTCGTATGTCCGCACTGACCCAGCACTCGACGCGGTCGATTCCCATCGTCACAGTTCAACTTACCCATAAAAGGTACACTCAAATAAACTGGCCCCGAGGGGTCCGCAAGTCAATAGNATGGCGGTCAATATTGCGCGATCAATGACTACTTTGACCCGAACACCACGATGAATGTGGCGGACACCACACGTGATGCAAAATTCCAAGCAGACACCTCTGGGACGGACATCCCGGGTGATTGCAATTGGTCCCGCGACCCGCAAGAGGCGGACGCCGCGAGCGCGTTCGGTCAGAAAACAACGCTGGCGGACACCAGTAGCGTACATAAACACAGGTCGGACACCCCACGCAAGATTTTATCNTGGATACTCCAGATATCCTCCACTCCCTCTGCGCGCGGTGCGAGGTAACAACTGAGAGTACGAGTCACCATCACGGGCCGGAGAGGAAGAGGTACACCCCCTATGTTCAATCACGGTACGTCACAACGGAAGCAGAGACAAGGCCATCTGGCACAGAACAAGGGAGAAAAAAATGAACGAACAGGAGAAAAAAAAGAGAAGACAATCGTGAAGATTCAGTACGTATTTGAATCTGTGGTTGTGTGGTTGTGGCGGCGTGTTGGAATTCGGAAAGAAGCAGGGATGCGAGGAAGTTGAAGAGCACCACGAGGTCAGAAAGTTTGTGTGTTCTCGCTGGGNACATAAACACAGGTCGGACACCCCACGCAAGATTTTATCAGGCATACAGACCCGAATGGCGGACACCATTTGCGAAGGAAACACACAAAAAGACACGGAATGGGCGGACACCAATACCGCGAGAGGAGACGCCTCGGGGGCGAACATCCCAGGCGATCACAATCGGTCTCGCGGCACGCAAGCGGTGGACGCCGCAAGCTGTTAGGTAAAAAAACTATACTGGCGGGCACCAGTAGTGTGTATAAGGACGCACGCAGGGCGGACACGCTGCGTAGGACTTTATTAGACACACAGACCCGAATGGCGGACCCCATTCGCGGAACATACCCAGTTATTGGCACGGAATTGGCGGACACCAATACCGCGAAGGGCGACGCCTCGGGGGCGGACACCCCGGGCGATCACAATCGGTCTCGCGGCNAAGGAGCAGCAGACACGGGGTGCCTTCTAGGAATTGATCGATTTTGGACAATCGAAGGCAGCGTCGCCATTCAGCGGCAGCATCACCAACAACAGGCTGGCTTGCACGGGTCGGGGTCCGCGGCAGTACCACAAGCCAACGCGACAGCGGGCATCAAACAACGGATCCAGGCGACATCTGCACCTAACATCCCACGGAGCAACGCTCGGAANTACTATACTGGCGGACACGAGTAGTGTGCGTAAGGACACACACAGGGCGGACACCCTGCGTAGGACTTTATTGGACACACGGACCCGAANGGCAACAGCAACACAACAGCACCTAGGGCACCAGCGAGACTCACAGCAGCATCATCGTTCGGTCGGCAACTTCGCAGCAACAATTCCGCCGCATTTCCTGACCCACGGAGCCCCACCGCAGCAGCAGCAGTAGCAGCAGCATCGACAACCGTGGCAGGGGAACACGAGTAGTCACCCGTATCTGGTCCCTCTGCTACAGCAGCTCGTTGCGCAAGGTTGTCAACAAGAATCCCAGATCCGGACACTCCAGCGGCAGGTAGACAATAATTCTAGCAACCAGCAATCTTCGTTTGTGTCCAGGAAGCCTTCATCAAGGATGGCATGGTCGCAGCCTCGCCAGATGCACAAGNGGACACACGGACCCGAATGGCGGACACCATTCGCGGAAAAAACACACAAAAAGACTAGGAATTGGCGGACACCAAGACCGTGGCGAAAGACTTCCACGGGGCGGACACCCCGGAGGGAGCACCCTTGGCAAGGTAGGACACTAGCGGTGGACGCTGCTAGGGTCATCGACGTCGCAAACGTTGAGCGANTGGTCGCAGCCTCGCCAGATGCACAAGACAGAGTTGACCTGTTCTTTGGGGAACTCTTCCGAATCTCTGGGGAGCTCTGTCGCTACTCCTTTAGGCACTTCGCCGAGTTCAAGGGCCGCGAGGCCGACGTCTTCGCCAGGTTCAGGCAAGCCGCCAATCTCAACTGGGCCGACTTCGTCAGCAGCCTTACCGCTACAGCTAGAGCTCTCCGGCAATGCTACTCTCTCGCCCCACTCCCTGCCCGCACGTCTGCCGCCGACTGGACACCCCGGACAGTGAGTGTTTCTCCTCGTGGTCGGGCACGATATGCACTCGGCCCAGGTNACACTAGCGGTGGACGCTGCTAGGGTCATCGACGTCGCAAACGTTGAGCGAGATGGTAGCGGGTCGAAATCAGTGACTTCTCGCAATGGGGCAGGGTCACAACGTTCGGTCGTAGAGAGGCCAAAAATGCAAACCACTTCGGTGAGATCAAAAACGCTGACGGAAAGCCTCAAGGTACAGAGAAGCATGCTTGCATCCAGCTCACAAACACTAGCCGAAAAACATGTCATTCGGAAGATGGCGGATATTGGTAGCGACTTGGTAAATGTCCATGACGGTAGGCTGGGAGACGTCGCGAGGGGAATTGGCGGCACTTTGGTGTCACTGCCGTTGGACGCGAGCGACGTTAAGCAGTATTTCGGAGACGAAAAAGGATTTCCGGGTATCGATCACCTCATAGAGATAGCCGGGGAAGGCGCCCCGGCACCCACTATTAACTCGGAGCAAAACCTCCAAAAAGCCCTGGCATACGGCAACCGCAGTAGCGTAGACGATCACCAATCGCAAGTGTGGAAAAAACTATGCGACGACGTCAAGCGTAACAGATGTATCGTTCTGAGAAAGGCGAACGCATCTGGCGTACGCGGGATTAGGGTAGCGCCTTACGGAGCGGTTCCAGGGAAGAAAGTAAGAATCATCAATGATTTCTCGTTTGACCCAAGCAAAAGCAAGGGGTCGAAAGGTGGACTTAACATAGATACCATCATGTCCGGAGTACCACGTTGCCTGTGCGGTGAAGCATTGCCAGCTTTCCTCGAGGAGCTCACAAGTCTACGAGTAAGATGGACCGACAAAAGAATACTCACGGCCAAGGCTGACGTTACCTCTGCGTTTCGAAACGTAAGGATATCACCAGATCACGCGCACAAGTTCTGCTATGTGATAGGAGACGTGCTAGTAGCGGACCTACGACTGGCATTCGGTTGGGCGGCGTCACCAGGATTACGGGGCGTTCTGGCCTCAGCTGCAGAACACTCGCACCGCATCACCTGCTCGCGAACGCACGACTACTCCGAGAAGGGATCGCGATGACGTCACATGTCAAAATCATTCCCCCCTGGGAAAAGGGGGGCCCAACTCCTATGCCAGCATTGGCAAACGTACAACCGCATCGAGGCGGGGGACCCACGGACGAGTTCTTGGCCAGGATGTATGAAGATTTCCTGCTCACGAAGGTCCAGCATGATCCCACCGACCAATAGGCACTCGTTGCTTCAGCATCGTTAGCTTCAGACCACGTCAGATTGTTTGGCACGGGAGAAGTAGGAGAGACACCCATTCTCGCTCCGAAAAAGAGCACTGACTGGAAATACGGTCATAAAGGCCTTGGGGTACACCATCGACAGGCACGGCGGCCGAATCGCGACGACTCCCGACAGGGTGAGGGCGATAAGAAACACCCGAGAAGCAGAATGGCCCCGCAATCGAAAGCAGGCCAGCGTTCAAGAAGTCCTTAGCCTGGCAGGGAGACTCTGGAACCTGACTTACATGATCAGAGCCGGCAGGTATTTCGTGTGGCAGCTACTCCGCCTATCAGGGCTGCATACTCAAGCCAGTCGACACACACGATCTCGGAGACTAGTGCGTCTGGGTCGGGAATTCCACGGCGATGTTGCCTTCTGGAAGTGGGTTTTTACCCAGCCCCTGGCACTTCGAGGGGAGTCCCTCAGCGCATCGTTACTCCACGTAAAGCGCACTCCATCTCGCCTCCATCTCTCAGACGCTAGATCCACAGCGATTGGTGGCTACGACCCTGAACTGACGACTTTCTGGAGATACACACTTGAACCGACCTCATCGACGGATCTCAAGCGCAAGGCACAGGCGAGGGACACGTCGGACATAACGATCAATCTGTTCGAACTGACCGGCATGTTCATGACGGCGTGGGTAGTTCAAATGATCTTGAACGAAAGGCCCGTAGAAGAAAGGCAGTCGGTGTTGATGCGTGGGGATAACGTGCCGGCCGTCAGTTGGACTAATAGGTGCGGCGGATCTCGCGACAGGCGAGCGAGCCTCATAATGAGACTCATGTTAAGGATGGAAATCGCCTGCGGTTGGTGCCACGTGGCAAAGCATATACCTGGACAAAGGAACACTCTCGCAGATGGGATCTTACGTTGGAAAGAACACGAGATCGCCGTCAACGTCGACGAACTTACGAAAGACTCAGGGTGGAAACAGCAGGATATCGGGGAGAGGGGTCGAGCGTTGCACGGTACTATCCTTCAAAAGAAGTTACCGAAAGAAAGTCTGGACGACCCGGTGTGGAACATTATGGTCCGTGTCTGAGAACATCTGAATTGATCGATGGCTCGAAAAACAGGGTGGGTGGACACTACCTTGTTTCTCCCGCTGAATTAAAAGAATGTTTCAAATACGACGAGACAGCGAGGAGATGGAGCGGTGGACACGCACGACCATCACTCACTGACTTGTCACATCTTCATGGAAGGTATTGCCGGCGTAAGAAGAGATGGGTTGGACGACCAACTCTCTTTCCCCGTCACTCATCCCGGGGGCTATTCAACAGCATGCGTGAATATCTTGCGACTCATGAGGGGACCCTCGAAGTTGTGTTCCAACTGTTATGCTGCGTGTACTATATGAGACAAGATCAGGTGCACAAGGAAAGGACGCCCAGGCCAGCGCGAGCGCAGGGGGAAGGGGGTCGGAACACGAACCCATTTCCGGACCATCGGGCCGGGGTATCAACAGACCGCACAGAAGGTTGTGAATCGCTTGGAGGACTGATCCGTGCGTGCGCGTGTTGGAGGATGGGAGAGATTGGGTGTAGGGGAACCGCCGTTTGCCCTCATGGCCTGTCGGTTCCCTGTACGGAATACGGAGGGGTAGAGCTTCGGACATGCCTAATGGAGTAAGATCTGTTTAGGCCAGGGGCCGAAAATAAAAAGATGAATAGTTGGGCAACCTAGGCAGGATACTAACGGGTTTGTCCGATGAGAAACGTTGGGAGCAAGAAGGCTCTTTATCTGCGCTCTCAATTAGTTGTTTTGTGTATTGGTTTGTCCTTGTTGCCTGCAGAAAAATAATCCAGAATTCTTGAGCAAACATTAAAAAAAGAAACAGTAGTCTATGGAAAGAGACAATTAATTGGGTGTTTGCGAAAGTGAAAAGACCAATTTGGTCTTGGCTCAGTTTGCTCTTTGAGGGCAAGTTTCTGGCAAGTTTCCTTTTACCCCGAAGCACCAGCAGCATGCGAACTTGCGGAGGCATTGCGCGGTTACGCCCGTGCAAGCCTCATGGTGACTCCGTCGGGGTACCGGAAGACCGTGAGGCAGACGCTGCTCTTAACCAGAGGGCTGGTGCGATGCACGCGGCGGACATGGTGGAGCTCAGATACTGGGACACAAGTCCTCTTCAGCGAAGCTGTGAAGCACCCGGAGATGCTCCTCGAGTACGGAGAGGAGGGGGCTGCGGACGGAGAGAGCGAGGCAGAGAATGAGGCCCGCTTCATCGACTTCGAGATGCTCTATGCGATGATGGAGAGAGAAGAGCTACTCCGCCCTCGTCAAGTCCACCGCGCGCCGGTGGATCACGTGACGAGAATCATCGACAGTGTTGATGATTGCGACGCGTATCACAACTACCGGACCCTCAAGAAGGACATGCCCCGGCTGATGGAAGCGTTCGGCTTCCCTAATTTGATTGGGCTGGAGAACGGGTGTGTGTTTCGCGGGGAGGAGGCCTTCCTTCTTCTGCTGATGAGGATGAGGTGAGTTATTTTTATTTTCTCGGAGCTGCTACGAGGTGTATGTAGCCGCAGCAGCAGCAGCAGCAGCAGCAGCAAGCTGGTGCAGCCCAGCTTGGGGGTTGCAAGGGTGTACAGATGAAGCGCCATGACAGGCTCCCTTGGCAACACAACAGACGGCATGTACTCGTACGTGGGCAGAGAAAACATCTGGACACGCCGCTCGTGAAGAGGGTGTTTCCGAAGTCTAGAATAGATATTGTAGGTGCTGTACCAGAGTTGGCATCCGTGGAGCGTTCATGTTCCCCCATCCACCGCTTCCGCGAACTTGTAGCAGCCGAGTGCATGGTTCGGTGTTTCGTCTCCACTTGCCAACACCTGCAGGCTTCTTTGCTCTGTGGTCTGCGCGTCGTAGTGCACGCCTGCTTTCGGCCGGTTCTGCGAAATACCCGTGATCGCAGGTACCCCGGACGCTTGTCTGATTTGGAGAGATATTTCGGCCGAGAGTATTCGTAGCTATGTTGGCTGTTTCGGTGGGCGACCGAGTTCGTCTTCACGCGCCACAGTTTGAAGAGTCATGGATCCGCACCTCCGACCCTTCGCCCAAGCGGTGTACAGCAAAGGTGCGGGCAGCTGTTGTACAGCAGCGCAGCAGCATCATAGATCACACGGGTTTGGTGTGCGACAGCATGCAGTCCCTGCGCCGCAGGCGGTCCAGCAGGAGGGAATATCGAGGCCGGAGCTTTGCACCACAGCCTCTAGCCGCCATTCCCGCGCGCCTCGAAACGCAAAGCGTGTCTTTGGCGGAGGGAGGAATTAGTTCTGGCGACAAAATTTTCCATCATAGGTACACTCGAAGAGAGAGGCGGGCGTTAGGTTTCATCATGAGGCGAGGTCGTGATCAAAAGGAACAACGGACGCACACAAATGGTGTCCTCCCCAGCGAAGAGCCCGATGTAAAATATATGCTTCTTGGTCTTGTGCATTTGTTTTTGCTCATCGCCTTCGCGCAGGACGGCCTTTGGGGCTGACGTACGACGACATCTGCGCCTTCATCGATGGGACTCTCCGTCGCTTCTGCAGACCCGACGGGCACGACGACATCCAGAGGGAGGTTAGCAATACATTTGCTTTCTTTGTTGGTCGTGGTGACGATGGAGGACGACGGAATAGCCTTGCGATAGTCCAGTTAGGCGACTTAAAGTGGGCCGTCGCCTCCTTCCGATTGTTTCTCGGCATTGTTGTGGTGTATTTGTGAGTTTTTGGTGTCCATGCACTGCGGTGATGGGCGATTGTGGTCAGGCGGACAAGCGTGTTTTACGGGAGTCACCTTGCTGCCCAGCCCTCCTCGCCCTGCCACTTTTGGCCGGCAGGTCGCCGTTACGTCCGAAACAAGTGTCGGTTTAGGTGCGTGTCGACGTTAGTCTCTGCACAACAGTAGTACTTGCACTAAGCTCATAACCCTGTGCTGCGTGGCTCACGACCCCCCACCACATCCCCCCGCTGGCATGCACCTTACATTCGACGTAGGTGTACGATGGGCATCATCGCGATCACGGGCTGGTGTACCAGGCGGTGCAGGCTCCGAGCGCGATGATCATCGATGCTTGGGGTCCCGTGTCTGGGCGGCGACACGACTTGTACCTCCTCCGCGTCAGCGAGCTAAGCCCTCGCCTGGCGGCCGTGCAGGACCCGGACGGACGCAGATGAAGGTTTACGGAGACGCGGCGTACCCTCTTTTGTCGCATGTGCGCCGGGGTTTCAAGGGGGGCAATCTGACGGAGCCGCAGAAAGCCTTCAACACGGGCAACAGCAGGATGAGGATCAGCGTCGAATGGGCGTTTGGAAAAGTCGTGCAGTTGCTTCCGTTTTGCGACTTTCGCAAGAACCAGAAGTTGTTCTTGCAGCCAGTCGCGAAGTACTACATCAACGCCTGTCTCCTCACGAACGCGCACACCGTCTGCGCGGCTCTCAAACGGGGAAGTACTGACATGGAGCCCGCCACGCTCGAAGAGTACTTGGCCTAGAATATGTAGATAGTGCCCTCGGGGCGGGATCGGGTGTTGTTCATGGAGAGCGGGTCGAGGGGAAGGGGAAAGGGCGCGTACCTTGTCGCGGCCTTGCGCGTGCGATGTGGTGTGCTGAAATGCCAATGATCTGGAAGTGGATGGGCCGCTAGTTTTTTATTTTCATCGCTCTGCTTGGCTCGAGCAAACGCAACCGCTCATGTCGCCAGGTTTAGTGTGTCCCAGCTAGACTGCACAATCGATATCGATGAAGGGTGCTCGCGTGGATTTTTTTGTTTTTTTTCCATGTCACCCAACGTTGTGGTGGGGGGGTCGATTCATTTGTTGGCTTGGCCGGTGACAACCCGGCGCGGAGCACTCCGGCATAGTGGGAGGACCAAGAGCCAACATACATTGTCATGTTCCAGTTTTTTTTTGTTTTGCACTTGATATCTGACATGTCTGTGTGTGTTTATTTTCGCTCTGCTGACCCTTCGGGTTGTATACATCATCTTGGGTAAGTTAGCCTGTGCCAATGAATTGACGGCATCGAACGTGGGGTCAGTACAGACAGAGAGAGAGGCCGGGATGGTATTTATTTTATAGTCAAGAACAACAACAACAACCCGCGGATAGTTTTGTGCCAAAGGGAAGACTTGATAGCCCAAAAATTTTGCGCGCCGTGGCGAAACGCCGTTCTTTCGTTTCCTTCTGTCTTAGGAGTTCCGCGTGAAGCCACGGCGTCTGCGTATGACGCAAATTGATGCCCGACCACCCGTGGCTCACTGTCCGGCAACAGACCCTAAAGATCATAAGCCCCCATCCAATGACGACAACATGATTTTCGCAACCACATTGCATCTTCACGAGAAAGGCCCTCTCCCATCCCGCGTCCCCACCCTGTTTCTCTCAGCGCTGTCGACGAGGGACAGCAGCATGCGACCACGTCTATCTTGCATTCCCGAGGTGTATTCTGCGATAGACGGAGGCGATACATACATTTTAACCCCCTCCCTTCACCTCCCCCCCGGTTTTTACCATCGGGTTTGGGTTTTCGTCGCCTGGCAACGACGTTGTAAAACAAGCCGCCCCCCGGTGTTTGCCATCGGGGTTGGGTTTTCGTCGCTTGGCAACGACGTTGAAAAACAAGCCGCCCCCCGGTGTTTGCCATCGGGGTTGGGTTTTCGTCGCTTGGCAACGACGTTGNCCCTCGAGGCAGTTACACAGTGCTTACAACTGTCTCTGGAAGTGAAAGCACCAGAAAATAAAGTAATTCATACGCAGCTGTCATCCGTACGCAAGGAAGTAAGCACAAGTTGCCGAACATCCTTGGCAGGATGCAGCGTACCCTTCATACGACTCGCCGAATATCTCACGGCGCTTCGCGCTTGGTGATGTGAGAGCCTGGTCCGGTGAGAACCCGGCGTGNCCTGCTTTTACTGTGGTCCGGATTCGACGAGCACGTACCCCCCCCCCCCCCCCCCCCCCCCCCCTTCATCTGCTTATTTTTTGGGGGCAAATTTCCTCTTTTGTTTTGTCTCATCATCTCCAGAAACATTTTCAATACCTCCACAAGTCAGCAGCGCTGCCAACCGCCCTGCAATGCCATCCGCGCCAATCCTAGCCCCCTTCATATGAAGTAGACCCTCAGAAAACAAAATCCCCCGTCCACGACAACATATGCAGCTCGAGGTCAACTGGCGAAAAAAAAATGCGCTGCGCTGGAACATTAACGAAGTATGGAGCACCCCCGACAACGGAACTTCAAACTTCGTCTCCTTTCATGTCAACCCCCTCATGCGAGCTGGTCACCGCCGAATTATCATCCCCGACCATTATATATTTTTTTTCCCTCAAAGCGACCGAAGGAGCAAGGTCTTTTTTCACCTCTCGAGCAAACCGCCTACCGCACCTTCCCGACAAATACAAAATTTGTGACGACTTCATGCGTATGGTTCTGTCTTTTCACTCCTCCAACGTCGATCCCAAAAAACAACCAACACCTTTCCGAACCGCTCAGCCACGAAATACTCTCGTGTGCTCTCTCTTTCCATCCCAACGCAAACCATGGTTTCTTTTTTTCATTTTCGAGCTCTCTACATAGGCCCACCCCTAGCCCCTCTACCCCCTGCCACCTCGCGCCGAAACATTGTGTTGGACCCCGCCGACGTGCGCAAGTCAAGTCAGAGCACCGAAACCCCCCCACCCCCGTTGCTGGCGATCAGCCAACTAATAAACACCTTCGGGTCAACCTTCCGTCCCACTAGTTGGACTTGTTGGCAATACTCTCCACAAGCTTCATCAGCATCACGGTCTGTGCTGCCATGTTGTCACTCTGTGCTTGGGCTAGGGCCGCGGCCTGGATTGCCTCTTAAGAGCGATTCTCTTCCTTCATGACAGCGAGGGCGTGTTCGTTGGCCTCACGCTTGGAATCAATACGGATCTTAGGCTCGTTGTACGTTTTTTCGTTAGCGAGACGGTCCTGCTCGAGCTTGACCCGAGCCTCGTCAATCGCCTGTTGCCGAGCAGCTCTAGCCCTTGCCTCAGCCTGGGCTTCGGCGTCCCTCTTAACATGGAGGTGGAACTTTTCCTCATCGCTCCTCGAGTAAATATATTTTTTCCGCCCTCCCACTATCCTCCCCACCTTGCTGAATCCTCGCGTGCACGAAGGCAGCCATGGCTTCCTTCACACTCCCGATGCCGAGCTCCTCCGGCAGCGGCGCCTTGCGGGGAGGACGCTTGCCGACGGATTCCTTCGGCTCCGGGCGGAGCGCCAGCGTCGTGCAGCTACCTCTCCCTCCGTGAGCCTCTGTGAACACCTGTGGCGGGGGCGGTTTTCAGGCGAGATGATATTTGAGTGCATGCATGTAGGTTCGCCCGACAAACGAGAACTGGCTGTCCGCCGCCTCGTACACACAATACTGCTGTGGCTACGCCCCCACAAAAAAGGCGAAAATCAATGCCCAAGCAATGAGTACAACCTAAATCGTGTGTTTCGCTACCGCCTGATAACAACTTCTGGCATCTTGCGTGAGAACACCCCGTTTATGTACCTTGCTCGTGCCTGCCGACTCGCCCCCCTTTTCGTTGGGCCCGTCCCATCGCAAGGGCACGTACGGTTCCTTTATATTCGTGTGCTGTCGTTGTTTGACATAACACCCTCAACACCATCGCCCGTGCCACATATTTCTTTATTGTGTAGGATAGAATCGGGGGAGGTAAAACTATGACAGGGCGCACCTCAAGGGGTGATTGTCATACACTATTACTGCGTCGCGTCCAAGCCTACCTGCCGCCTTTGCTGTTCCTTGAACTCGTTAGCCGCGGCCACGCCGGCACGCAGACGTTCGCGGTCCTCCGCAGCCTGGTCGTCGCGCGCTACCGCCTCGTCCAGCTCCCTGATAGTGTCCGGACCGTGGTGGTCGTCGCGCAAGCCGCTCATGTATGGCGCCCTGGTGTGCTCGTCCCTGTATTGCTTAAGCAACTTGTTGTACCTATCGCGCACTTTGGGGCCAGTGACGACAGCGTCGCCCTGAACCTCCGGGGCAAAATCCGGATGCTGCTGAAGGGCCATGGCCACGGCCTCATACGCGCCAGCGAGATTCCCCTCAAAACTCGTCTTTGCGAGCGTTCACCTAAATGACACGAATCGCACAGCAATCAAGGGTGACAAGCCGAAAAAATGGGGGGGCGGGGGGGGAAGGGACGCCGACGTCTACGGTATTCAGCCATGGCACGTACGCACATGTTACATACAGTTCGTCACGCCGTAGCACAACAGGATAAAGCGTCACGGTAGTGTACAACACAGATTCGAAGTACATACAGCCTCTTCTGTGTGGCTCTACATGATCGTGCAGCCCAGAAAAAACCGAGAGGAAAACGTGTATCCGAGCTTAAAGCATAGACTACAGAGTACAACAGATGTTTTTCGAGATTGTCTGCGTTTCCGGGGTTTGAAAATTGACAATTGCTGGTGAATAATAATCTGGCCAACTAACGGTCGCCCACGAGCTACCCAAACCGGGAGTCACCCACCTCGACCAGCATCGCCTTGACACAGCCAGAAATTCACTTGAGCTGAGCCCGGGTGGTGCTCCCCGTAAGAGCAGCCGAAGATCCGTCTCCATGTCCACCGGTCGGCTGGGGAGTGTCAACGTGTGTGCTACCGTGCGTTGGCGGACGCTGCGGTAGCTGCGGCTGTAGGGGCGGCGACTGTACACCTGTTGTCGCCGTTGTCGCCGGGAGCCCCCGGGTGGTGCTACCCGTACGTGCCGCCGAAGATCCATCTTCACGTGCGGCGGGCGGCTGGGGAGTGTAAAGCTGTGTGCTCTCGAGAGTTGGCGGAGACGGTAGCTGCTGCTGCTGGGGCGGCGGCGGCGGCGGACTTGTCGCCGTTGTCGCTTGGGGCACAAAATAACCTTACTACGCGCCCACCACGCGGACCGCCGGCACCATCGAGTTGGGTGTGTGCTGGTGTCCCGGGCCCGCAAGCTGCTGGCCAGGGTTCGCGCTGGGTCGTTGATGGAGGTTGGGCTCCGGCGGCATACCATAAGATGCCCGAACAGCGTTGTCGTGGGTCTGCTGCGCCGCTACCCGCACCTGATCATGCGCGAGAGCGGCGCTCATAGGCGTCGTGCAAATCCCGTTGCGAGGAACGACCGTAGTCCCCTCACGGCCGGAGGCAGGCGCAGCGGTGTAGGC